GAAATCTTTGATCTGCTGTAAACGTCTGAGGAGGGTGAACGACTCTGGTCATGTGTGTGTAACTGAGCTGGTGATGGAGTCTGACCGTCGGCTTGCGGCTCCTCCAGCAGCGTGTCCAGAGCTCCGCTGTAGTCCTCCAGTACCCAGAAGGCCATGCTGCGCAGGAACGGGTCCTGATTGGCAGAAAGCTGCTCCTGACCCAACACATGCCTCTGCAGGATCCGCTTATAGGAGCAGGACATCTCGAAGTCACACTCGTACAGCCGACAGATGACCAGAGCCAGCTGGAGATCCTGCAGCTTCTCTATACACACCTGCACACACACACACACACACACACATCACCATCATCATCACACACACAGACACACACACACAACATTTTCTCCACCGAAATGCACACATCACAGAAGCACCTTCTCTATACACACCTGCACACACACACAGACACACACTGAGTACCTCGACGGCGTCTTTGAGTGATCCGGCGAGCAGGAAGAAGGCAGCGGAGTGCTGGAAGCGCTGTTTCCCCAGCAGAGAGAAGGCGTTCTTCAGCGCCGCTCTCCTCCAGCGCTCCTCACTGAAACTGTTACTGAAGAACGCCGTCATCTTCACATTCTGCTGAGACCTGCACACACACACAGCACTGAGAGAGTGTCTGAGGAAGAGTGTGTGCGGGTGTGAGGAAGAGTGTGTGTGTGTGTGTGTGTGTGTGTGTCACCTGTACAGTCCCCACACCACTGCTTTCTTCTTCATGGCCAGGTAGAACAGCGCAGCGTCCAGCGGGTCGTTGTTCCTCTGATAAGCAGCTTTGGCCACCTGCCAGAGGACGAGGAGCAGATTAATACACACATCAAACACAAACACAAGCCTGAAGATCAAACGTGAGCTCCAGTCTTTATTTCACCATAAGCACTTATTCATTCATTCAGTTTCTTCTCAGCTTAGTTCCTTTATTAATCAGGGGTCACCACAGAGGAATGAACCGCCAACTATTCTAGCATATGTTTTACACAGCGGATGCCCTTCCAACTGCAACTCATCACTGGGAAACACCCAAACACACTCATTCACACACACACACTCATACACTACAGTCAGTGTAGTTGATCAGTTCCCCTATAGCGCATGTGTTTGGACTGTGAGGGAAACCGGAGCACTCGGAGGAAACCCACACCAACACGGGGAGAACATGCAAACTCCACACAGAAACACCAACTGACCCAGCCGAGACTCAAACCTGAGACCTTCTTGCTGTGAGGCCACAGTACTGACCACTGCACCACCATGCCACCCTCTTTCCAAATATACCAGGGTGTAATGTACACAAGCATGGTGTTGGTTTCCTAAAACCTTCTGTTTTTCAATCTGTAAGACACGTTTATCATATAGACGTCAGAGAGCCACATCTGAACACACTCATAGATACAAGCACACACATGTTCATGTCCTCTTCCAGCCATATTTGCTTTCCTACAGAGTATGTGTGCATGTTATATACACAGAGGAGGAAAAAGACAGAAATAAAGATAAAACAAAACCTCTATACCAGTGGTTCTCAAACTGTGGTACGCGTACCACTAGTGGTACGCGGGCTTCCTCCTAGTGGTACGCGGAGGAATCGCTAAATAATGAAAGAAACAATTAACACTTTTAATCCTTTAATGTAATATAACATCGATGTGATCAGCATTGGCTGTTTTGTGAAGCGTACGATCACAACGCTGTGCTTAGAGTGTTTATTTTAGTGCATTGTGTCATAAGCTGCTGAAAATCAGTTTCCGAAATTTAAGAATTGATTCAGAAGCGGTTTGACTGACATGAAAAGTGGCCAATCACAGTCGACCTTGTCTAGTTGCGTGAAACGTAAGGGCGGGACAAAGGCTTTCTGTGTTGCAGAGACAGAAAAAACTACTTAAAAACAAATGTTTTGTTGGAATTATACTTCTCGGATGTTTTCACTATAGAGATGTTTTGCAGAGTAATTAAACCGTGGACATATTTCCTGCCTATTTGATGATCTTCATACACGTTTCGCTCTCCGACAGCCAGTCGACTCGCCTCTGACCTGTCACTCCTCTAAATACATTCTGAATGGCGGCGCGGGAATGAAGGTATTGCGCAATTACTCATTTCTGCAAATGCGGCAAATGCTTTATTTTAACACGAGAGCGCATTCATGTACACAAATCGCTAAAACAGATATGCGAGCTCTTAAATAGGCTTTTTTCAAATGAACTGCAAGTCCTCTCATGATCGCCTGTGTGCTCAGATAGAATACAATCGCGATCTTTCCACTATTAAAGTAGACATTATTTATCTTTGCTCCTTAACTAAATTCAGTCAAAAGTATTCAAAGTTATCAAATATTTAGAAATAGATTGATGCATGATCGATGACAATGCTAATGGTCTTCTTATTTGGCTGTGTTGTGAAGTGAAACTTACTTTTAGCAATGGAATATTTTTTATTTCTTTACGACAAAATAATTATGCTGGAAATGTTTCTGGATGGAGGTATTTGTGTGATTTATACATTTAGCTGTATTCTGATCTGTCCTAAAGCATTACAGGTCAAAGCAATCCATTGTTAGCCTACTTATTGTTTATTTATCACAATTTACAATAAGGCTCTTAAATCACTGCTTTGATAAATGTAGTGTCGTCATATTTCAAATACCTCAAGTAAAATGAAGTCATTTGTTTTATTTGTTTACTGACAGTGTACTTGTATTTTTTTACGTTTCTATTTTAGATTAAGATCAAGTGTAAAATAAAATCTACATGTGATGTACAGCTATTTAAGAAACAAATTTGCCATATTGTAAAGAAAAATAGTGTAAAATATGTAAATAAAAGGCTAAATTTAAATCTTTTTACCATATACTTTAATTTAACCTTTCAACGCTTAAAAATATATATTTTTAAAAAAAAAAGTAAAGTGCAAAAAGTGTCTCTATGGCCTTAAAGATTATTTGGTAGTTTTACCAGTGCTATTGAAAAAGATTAATTGTCATGAAAGGAAAAATTGACTATACTTCCTTTGTTAGTGCAAATTATACATGTAGCTTTGGGATGTAAGCAATCAAACCATTAAATCAGGTTTACACTTAAAAAAAGTGATTTCATAATGAAAATCAGATTTTTTTTCAAAAGTAACCAACTAGTACTTTTTAAAAGAGTAATTTGTACTTTTACCTAATATTAGTATTATTTACTAAAATTTGTGTTATTTTAGCAGTGTAATAGTATTTTTACTTGAGTACAAAAAAGATTTCACAAGCACTTAGTGCAGGTTTATTATATTATTCATATATGATTAATAAATATTATTATTAATGATTATTATTTGTATCTATTCCTATGGAATGTTTTATGGGTTGCTGAGAATACATTTCAGGTCTTCAATACATAGCATGTCAGTCTTGAAAAAAAATAGGTGCTGGAATTGATTTTCATTAGGCTGTGCCTGTATGAACCCTGTCATGTACATTTAACATTTATTTCAAGATTTGTCTGAAAGTGTATGAATATGACATGTAGCCTATATTTATAAGGTCCAAGCAGCATTTCCAGCTTTTGATGAATAGGCTACTATGAATACTTTAGATTTAAGTACAGCAGTTTTCTTTTTACTTTTTAAGAACAGCGCCATTTTTTTTATGAACTTTTAAAAGCACATTTTAACTAAAACTTTTTTTTTTTATCTGCAAGCACAGTTAATGTTCAGACTATTTCAAATGTTTAAAGTGACTGACAATGATACATATTCTTACTAATAGGAAGTAATCTGCATCGTTTTAAAACTGTGCACACCTGTAGCTGCTTAATTAGGCTTACGACGCTATTTTTTAATACTGGTTAAAAAATAGTGTCGTAAGGTGGTACTTGGAGAGACGATTTTTTTCTAAGGTGGTACTTGGTGAAAAAAGTTTGAGAACCACTGCTCTATACAACAGTTCTGTCTGGTTCCTGAATCTGATTGGCTGATAGCCGTGCGATATTCTGCCAGTAACATCACACAAAGGCCTCTTCACCTCTGTGTATTACTCCGCCCACACACAGCCAGCAACAAACAGAGAGACGCTACAGTTTGACAAATATTACTGCTGTTAGACAACAAAATCTGCTTGAGGCTTGTTTTAGTGGAGAATGTCGCTGTTTGGATTGCAACTATGCAGTTTATTTGTAAGAATAGTGCCTATTTAAAATAAAAAGACGGTTGATGTTGTCTATTCACAAGATGGAGCCAGGACTGCATAATAAGCCCTTGCTCAGTGTGTTCTCCTGAGCGCGGATAAGAAGCTGAATAGCGGAAGTGTTGCGGTTTTTAAGGTGGACCGGATAGAGTCAATAAGAAGCTACGAATAAAGCCTGGTTTATAGTTCTGCGTCATGTGACCGGTGTAACCTACAGTGCATGCAACATGCGTAGCTGTGCATTTATACTTCTGCAGCTGTCTCTGTTGGTCTGCATTAACACTTCTGAAACGCTAGTTGGCAGTGAGGTGTAAATGTTCCTCTGTGTTGAGTTTCTTCGCTGGTGCTTTGTTTTTCCTGAACGTACAAGTGGCTCAAACTCGCTCATTTTGAGGCAGGAACCGGCGGACGTGCAACAACTTTAACCATGAGGTAAACACAAAACAAAACTTTCCATCCGTAGCTCCTTCACGGGACTCCACACTTGTAAACAATCGCTCCATCAGGCTCGCGCCATTCACGCGGCTCTCGGTCCCGTCCAGACTCATCAGCGCTACCAAGCCGACCAATCACAGAGCTTGTGCTACGTGTCGTTGCGACGTGTAGTTACATTTTTTGAGAGGTGCACATCATCAACCTCAACGGCCATGGCGAAGGGCTATGCGTCAGCACCGTAGCATACGCCGGTGTTTGACGCAGAAGTATAAATCAGCCTTAAGAAGCTGGATTCAGCCTCGTCCCTCCTTAACGCAAACACAACAGCAGTCTGGAAAGTTAGAGATTGCTCTGTTTCTTCCAGGGTTAGTTATTGTGATATTGTAACGGTGGTTTAATGTTTGATTTGCATTGTGTATAAATGTCATGTCTCCTTTAAGAGGACTATTCCTGTGGTTGTTTTACCTTTGAGATGTAAGCACACATGTATGGGAGCTCAGTTCAGCGAGCTCTGAGCAGAAGTGTGTGATGGTCGCTCTACCACTGTATCATTCTTTTATTTTTAATAATGTAACGTTTAATTTTGCGATGGGTGTTTGAGTGTCTTTTTCTTTTCCTTTTGCATGTAGTCGACAGCACTGAGGAGAAACGCATAAAGGCCAATATGAAGAGCGAAATAGTTTTCGTTTTTTATTCCTGAAAGTCTCTGGGTAAACGCTGGGCACCTGGCACTCGTCACAATACTGACAGCAACAGAGAAATACTGTAGACTGTAATAGACTGTAGGGAGATATCTCTGTAGACGGATGGCATTTCATGTCACGTTCAGCCTTATAATCCTAAAATGTGAGCAAAATCAGCTGTTTTGGCATCACCTTAAGGGGGTCACACACCAGAAGCGCCGCTTCACATTACCCTATAGAGAATCACTCAAACACCAGCTCTAAAGTGATGTTGGTGAATGAGTAACGGCTTCTGCTGTTCTGACGTCAGCTGCAGATGTGAATGAATGGCGGAAGAAAGTAGTTCCTCATACAAAAGGGTTTTAGACTCTCTGTGTTTGATTTTCTGTTTTATATTCAAGATTGTGCTGTCGAACTGTTGTATAAACACAATATCACACTCATAGCAGTGCAATATGGCTGTACATCAGCACTGGTGGGGCGCTAAGCCAACACACGCCTCCCACCAGTGCTGATATACAGCCATATCGCACTGCTACTCATGTGACATTGCTCATATATACAAGAAAAATAATCAGCAACCAAATAACTAACCAAATAATGTCCATTTAAAGTCAATTTCCACAGTTTGAAGTCCTTCGATTTACAAATGCTGTATTTAGCTCCATTTGACACATATCCAGGCCGGCACGGTGGCTCAGTGGTTAGCAATGTGGCCTCACAGCAAGAAGGTCGCTGGTTCGAGTCCCGGGTGAGTCAGCTGGTGTTTCTGTGTGGAGTTTGCATGTTCTCGCAGTGTTGGCATGGGTTTCATCAAGATGACAACAAGGTTTGTCTGAGCTCGGGTCGACCATGGCTAGGCCCCCAAGGAATCTGCACGCACAGATTTGAAGCCCATCATTAAGTCTTTATATTAACTTGTGTAAATGTGTGTCAACTTCAATTTATTCGGTTTTTAAATTAGACTCAGTAATATTATTATTTATTTACAATACAGTTTGTAAAGTCTTTTAGTAGATGTATGTGAGACTTGCTTTAATTACCAAATCAGTGGATCTAATTGGATTTGCATTGATTGTTCCATATATTAAGTTTGTAGTTACCATAATCCCAAAATTATTCCGCATAAATCTGCAGATTTTCAACCTAATTCTGTGCAGAAATAGCTAAATTTGTCTGCAGATTCCGTCTGGCCCTGACCACGGCTGCGTGTTTAAAATGCTGCTTCCTGTGTTTTTTACTCTCCTGGACTGTGTAAGGCTACTGATGCTTCTCTGTAAACCAATAGCATTCAGCTGCGCATCTGGCTCCGCCTACTGGTACCCTTTTGCTGTGCTGGTGCCCCTTGAAAAGGGTATTCAAAAAGTGGTGCGGTACGCTTCACTCTTGGTACCTTCTGACAGTGGAAACGGCCATAAAAGCGTTCCGTACCATACCGTACCACTCAGTGGAAAAGGGCCATAAGCTGAAGGAAAATGACTGAACAATAGTCACATGTCCAGTGTAATTTGAATGCATGCAGTAATGGTTGAACCTTCTCGATGCATCTGCGCAGTTTGTTGTTGCTGCGGAGCCACCAGCCCACACCCATCGCCCTGAGCTCCGGCCAGGACGGCTCTCCTCTCTGCAGCGCCGGCAGCAGGTTCAGCAGCTCCTCCTCTGCCTCTGAGTGAAACGCCCAGGCGTAATGACAGGTGGACAGACCTGCACACACACACACCGCACAACACTGTGAACTACACACACACACACACACACACACACAGAGCTCCAAAGACAACAAACTATACTACAGTTTAACATATGAGGGCACTCAAGAGTCTGCGCACACACAAACACACAGAAAATGTTCTAATGAAAGTGTGTGTGTGTGTCCGTGTGTATGTGTGTGTGTGTGAGTGTTTATGTGTGTGAGCATTTGACTGCGTTTCTGTGTGAGTATAAGTGTATGTGTATCAGTGTGAGAGTACGTGTGAGCGTTAATGTGTGAGAATGTGTATGTCTATATGTCTGTGTGTGTGAGTATTTGTGTGTGTGTGTGTGTGTGTGTGCGTGCACGTGCATCTGTGTGAGAGATTGCCTGTTAAGTGAGTGTTTGTGTGTAAGTGTGTGTCTGTTAATGCGTGTCTGTGTCCGTGTGTGAACGAATGTCTGTGTGAGCCTTTGTCTGTATTTGTGTGTGTGTGTGCACATCTATATAAGAAAGTGTGTGTGAGTGTATGTGTGTGTATGTGTTTGTGTGCAAATGTGTGTATCTGTAAATGTGTGAGAATGTGTCTGTGTCCATGTGTGTGTGAGCATTTGTCTGTATGTGTGTGTGTGTGTGCACATCTGTGTGAGTGCATACAAGTGTGTGTGTATGTGAGAGAGAGAGAGGGTATGTGTGTGTGTGAGCGAGAGACAGGGTATGTGTGTGTGTTTGTGTATGTCTTTGTGTATGTGCGAGTCTGTTTATGTGTGTGTGTGTGTGTGTGTGTGTGTGTGTGTGAGCGTTTGTCTGCCATTCATTGATTTTTCTTAGGCTTAGTCCCATCAGGAGTCGCCACAGTGGAATGAATCGCCAACTAGGGCTGGGCAATATGGCAAAATGCAATCTCCATAATGATTTTCCATATTGAACGATAATGATGTATATTTCAATACAAGTTGTTGAAGCTTCCTGATTTAAAAGAGCACCCCAACAATGACTGACGCCACAATAATCTGAGGGTCCACTAATTACTCTGCACATCTCTAATATCAACACACTTTAAGATCCTCATAGTTGCACATTTCTGCTGCACCATTGGCTCTTAGATCAATATAGAGTGATTATTACTGTTATTGACATGAATTTTACAGCTACTCTGGACACTGACCCTGACAGAGGAGCGGAGCGCGGTGAGCCGGAGGCAGAGACGTCAGCAGGAATGTGTGCAGACGAACAGCTAACAGGAACTTCAGCCCACATTCATCCAGCGTCTCTCCACCTGAACACACAACAGCAGATGAGGAGTGTTATAATCATGACATAAGGTGGATGAGATCAACTTGACATAAACAAACACATCACAATCTGTTTATGTCTTTATGACAACCTGACGCTACCAAAACAACAGAACCTGTCATAAACCTGTCATAAACATGATACTCATAAAGGCATTATGAATAAATGCTTTTCACACTCAGTTTGAGTTTTTGTCTTGTTTTTAGTCCAAACACCTCTGTAATCAAGAAGCATTTTACAGACAAGCACAACATATATCTTGTTTTCAGAAGTAATGACTCAAAATGAAAAGAGTTTTTCCCTAAAGGGCAGCTATTTTACCCATTTTCAAGAAGTAAGATCAGTCGTTTGTGTCTCCAGAATGTGTCTGTACCGCTTCAGCTCAAACACACATCAGATTATTGATTATAGCTTTCAGAATGTTGTAATTTTCTGTTGTGAACACACTGGAGCTGTTTTTGTGGTCTGTGCCTTAAATGCTGGTTCTCCCCGTTCACCATTCCCACGTGCCTGTCAGAGTGTGCCTCAATCTCCTCCTCGGCTGCGTCAGATAAACAGCACAGCGACAGACATGAAGGAAGCAGATCTCACGTAACGTCTGTGAGAAATGCTACAGTAAGAACTTTCCCAATGATTATTTGATGTATTTGTTGTAGAGTTAATTCAAGCCTTACGATGAGTCACACACAATGTCACCACACACACACAGCACGTGTTTAACTTTACACAGTAAATGTGACAGGATACAGGTTAATCTCCACTGCTGTATGGATATCTGCTATGTTAATGTACTGAATAAACCTGATCTGACCTGAAGCGTTGTCTTTTATAATTGTACTTTAACTTACATTATTACAAACATGGGCTGATTTAAACATGTTTAAACCTGTGAACCTCATTCTTGATCACATTTGATGATGACTGATGATCACAGAGAGCTGAACAGATGTCAGAGCTTTTAAGCCCAGTTGCTTTGCGCACGTTCTGCCTCGTTGATATGTTTATACGAGTTACTACACAGGTATCAGGGTGCAGGAATCCTAAAGGAAATTTCAATACCTTTTCAAAACTTTTTAAAGACCTTCTCAGAATATTTTAAGACCTCGTCGCCACTTTAACTTGTAATCAGGATCAAATCTGTAACTTAATAAACAGTTGTAGTTAAATAAATTAATGGAGCAGAACCATGCAACAGAACTCGGAAGAAGCAAAGCTTGACAGAATAAATGACCTGGTTGTTTTCAGCAACAGGTTTCAGCGACTGTTTAAACACGTCTTACTTCATCCAGGTGTACGCAAACTTATATTTTCCCCTTGTGTCGTCTGTTTCACTCTGTGGTTTCACTACATGTGGAGAGCGTCACATCACCTCCCTGTGTTTGTCGCGAATAACGTCACATCACCCGGACGGAGAAGCTTGGCCAGACATGCCCGGCCCAAACCACCGCTTGATCAGGCACGCCATTGTTAATACGAGGAGGAAAATAAATATATTGATGCTTTTTTGGAGTCAAACACTTTGGACAAGGCTTAAAATGTAAAACCTCGTAAAACCGGGATTAAAACGTTTTAATACCTTTTGAGGGCCTTCATTTTCTCATAATTGATTTTATAATTTTTATTACTTTAAAACCCCGCGGACACCCTGAATATGCGGTTGTCAATCAATCTGGTGGGCGGGGAAACAACACTCCTACATCACATTGCGGCGGGCTTTAAAACAAGAGGGATTCGGATCCTATTTTAACATCAGGAAATAAAAAAAAGAGACTTATTGTGTTTATATCAGCCCAATATGACCCTATACTACACACAGTTCTGTCCAAACAGCTTACAAACGATGATTTACATTATAGGAGCCCTTTAAAGCAAGCAAAATAATATGCCAAAAGGGTAAGAAATGAGATTATTCTGCTTGTTTTAAAGAGAAACTCACTTTCAACTCGACTCTACATCATAACTTTTCAATCCAGATGGACGGGGCAACCATTACTGCATCCAAAACGTTTAAAAGCCTTGGAGTAACGATTGATGACCAACTAAACTTCTCTGACCACATCTCTAGAACTGCTCGATCTTGCAGATTCTCACTCTATAACATCAGAAAGATCCGACCCTTCCTATTTGAACATGCAGCTCAACTCCTTGTTCAAGCTCTTGTTCTCTCCAGACTGGATTACTGCAACTCTCTACTAGCCGGGCTTCCAGCTAACTATCAAACCTGCTTCAGAACGCAGCAGCACGAGTGGTCTTTAATGAAGCTAAAAGAGCACATGTCACTCCGCTGCTCATCCGTTTGCACTGGCTGCCAGTTGCTGCTCGCATCAAATTCAAAGCTCTGATGTTTGCTTACAAAGCGACTTCTGGCTTTGCTCCTTCTTATCTGCTCTCACTTCTGCAGATGTATGTGCCCTCCAGAAACTTGCGTTCTGTGAATGAACGTCGCCTCGTGGCTCCATCCCAAAGAGGGAAGAAATCACTTTCGCGAACTCTCGCTCAATCTGCCCAGTTGGTGGAATGAACTCCCTAACTGCATCAGAACGGCAGAGTCACTCGCTGTCTTCAAGAAACCACTTAAAAACTCAACTATTTAGTCTCCACTTCACTTCCTAATCTGCAATTGCCTCTCTGGCTCCACCGCTAACTGTACTACAGAAAAAAAATACTAATGTTTTGCTTCTTACACTTTACAGACCTAAAACTCGTCTACAGCACTTCTTCACTGTTGCTCTTATAGTTGCGTAAATTGCTTCCTTGTCCTCATTTGTAAGTCGCTTTGGATAAAAGCATCTGCTAAATGACTAAATGTAAACGTAAATTTTGACTCATTAATTCTAAATGTTTTACTTGTCTAGAAAACGCTTCTTGATTTAAGAATGTTCAGATATTTGGACTCAAAACATGACCGAGTCTTCACAGTAATGTCGGCCCCTGACCTGTGCTGTCCCCGATGGCGGTGCTGGTGGAGGCGATGGTGTCAGCGAGCGCCATCAGAGACATCTGCTCTATCCTCGAGAGCCCCGGCAGGCTGGAGTGCAGCAGGTGACCCGACAGCACCTGAGCCTGCTCCGGCCCGAAGAACACAGGGCTGTATTTGGACAGGTCGATCACTTTAGCGCTAGCATCATTCTCATCATCGTCGTCATCATCAAAAGGGTCCAGATCCTCCACAGCGCCCCCGCCGCCCACAAAGAGCTCGTCATATGCATCCTTGTGGCTGGAGGTGAGCACACCATGGGCTGATACACTGTCCGTCAGGGCTGCTCCATTACGGGAAAAATCAAAATCACCATTAGTGTGGTCAGAATCATAATCATGATCACTTAAAATGATTATCAGTGGGCCATAATGGTTTATATCTACAGTTAAATCAGAATTATCAGACCTCCTGTTAATGTTTTCCTTTCACAGTATGTTCTAGTGAGTGTGAGTGTGTGAGGTGTGTGTAATGCAGTGTGTATGGGGGCATTCAGGACAGTAGACCTGCCATTATTCTCTCCTCTGGCTGCCGTTCTCAGTCTCACACTAGTGTTTTCCTCTTTCTGAAAGTCTTGATCACACCATCCTGGAGTTTATCTGTTATTATTTCAGCTAATAGGACTGTAGAATAACGATGTGTTGTACTCCTGCATTCACTGTGCTCTGAGTTTACACACTATGACCACTTCTGCTTCGAAGAAACACGGCAATGTGAGAAGAGTCCATTGCAGAGCCCTACCGTCAGTGCGCTCGTTAGCATTGGTGGCCGTCTCCTCGTCAGCAGCTAGCAGTGCGTACAGCGGCAGCGGCGGGATGGAGTCGATCTCAGTGTAGTCTGCGCTCTCCGTCCGGCTGAACATCTCTCGTGGGTCGCGGGTGGTGCTGCCGCTGGTGCTGATGGTGAGAGAACGAACACGCCGCTCCTGACCCTTCAAGGACACCACCTGACACACAAACACACTCTTGACATTAAACACACATACACATCGCCTTTGTAGGACACTGCAGGACACACACACATTTATATACTGTCCACCCTATAATTAGTGTGTCTATCTTATGTAAAACTACTTGTATAGTCCGCCATTGGATAGGAGTTGATGGCTTTCATGTGACATTATGAAAACACTCTTGTAACAGACAAACTACAACACTAAATCAGAAAAAGGTGGACACTATGGAAAACACAAATAAAGAAAGAGATTTCTAAATGTACTTTGACTTGTATTTCACTGCAGACGATACAACAAACATTATATTATGTGTTCCTCATCATTGTTTTGTTTTTCTAAATAAACAGAATCCTATTTTAGTTCTTGCAACAAAAAAAGTTAACCCTAACCCTAAGACACCAAGTGATGAAGTGTTTCATTCTGTCCCATTCCTCCTGCAAATAAGTCTAAAGGTTGGTGCACTTCAAAATGTGCCTCACATTCTCTATTGGAGACAGGTCAGGACTGCAGGCAGGCCAGTCCAGCACCAGTCTCCTCTTGAGCTGAATGTGGTTCTGCATTGTTGGACTCTGCATGGGCGTCCCTGGAGAAGAAGACAGCATGTTGAACTCAAGAATCTCTCTGTGCTGTTCAGCATTACTGGAGCATCACAGAAGAGCAGGTCACCTTCGCCAGGAGCACCGACACAACCCCAGACCATGACAGAGCCGGGCTTCTAGACTTGTTGCTGGAGACAGTCTGGATGATCCTTTTCGCACAAGGCGTCCATTTCTCCCAGAAGCACTGCTTCATCTGAGCACAGGACACGTCTCCACTGTGTGATGCTCCATCCCAGACACCTCCGAGCACAGAGAAGCGCTTCTGGACACTGTTAACATAGGGCTTCCTCTTGGCACAGTGCAGTTGTGGCTGGTGTTTGTGGATGTAACTCTGTATTGTGGTGCTTGACACAGGTTTACCGCAGTAGTCATGCTTATAGATGAATGAGGACTCTTGATGCAGCGCCCCCTAAGGGGTCGGAGGTCACAGTTGTTCAGCTTAGGCTTGTGCTCTGGTCTTTTATGCACTGAAACTCCTCCAGACTCCTTCAGTCTTTAATGATGTTCTGCACTGCTGAAGGTGAAATTCCTCTCTTCCTCTGAGGAGCATTGTGTTCACACTTTCCTCTCGTATTTGTTGGTAAACTGGAGATCCTCAGCCCATCTCTGCTCCTAAAGGACTAGAGCTTTCCTGATGAGCAGATCACCATCACCTGTGTACATCACATCATCATTCAGCAGATCACCTGATCACTGCCCTGACCTGCTCCTGTCTCTGTTTCTGGAGTGTGTTGAGCTCTGGATGACAGCAGAGGATGGAGATTCACACATGAGCTGAAGCTGACCAGACACAACATCTAATACTCTGTGTTTACATTGTCTGCAATCAAACACAAGTCAAAGTACATCTGGAAATCACTGCTTTCTTTTTTATTAGTATTTTCCCTACTGTCTCACTGTTTTCTGATTGTGAAAGTGCTATAGAAATGAAGATAAATGGAACTGAATGTGAGTAAAGGTGGGATTGGCGCACCTCTCCGGCGATGCTCTTCACCAGGTGTGCCAGGATGGCTTTGGCACGCCGCATCTTTCCCAGGTCCATGAGCTCCAGCAGCTGCACGGGGTGGTACTGCGGCAGCGTGGGGAACAGCTGATGAGCCGCCTCGAACAGCCCACAGTCCTGCATCTCCTGCGGCAGGTCCAGCACCGTCCTCTTCCCGCTCAGCTTCTGCGCCAGACTCCTCATGGACCTGGATAGAGTCTTCTTACTGGGGTTCGGGCTCAGTCCGTCTTGCTTCAACGAAGCAGCGCTGCCGGAGCTGCTGCTGAGAGCGTGTCTGTGCAATGAGGCCGGCTGCCACTGAGAATACACATGCATCTCGCAGTCCATCCCCACCACCAGGATCCCATCCCGCACCCAGGACAGAGAGACAGGAATAGGTGGAGATCCCTCGACGGACGACACCAGATCCACAACCCTGAGCAGCACCAGCCGGCAGAAGCGGAGCTCCCTGCTGCAGTCTGAGGAGCCCAGATCTGGAGGCTTTCCGGAGAGCAGCCCGTACATGTAGAGCTTCGATCCTAAACCTACAGTTAATATGTGAGCGCCGTCCTCTCTGGACACCCAGTCCAGGTGCACCTGCCTCTTGATGCCTTTAGACGTGATGTTATTATTATTATTATTGATGAAACTCTCGCTGAGTTTCTCTGCGTCTCCGCTGACCGTCAGCTTCTGCTCCAGGATCCACTGGGAGCCGCCGGTGGACTCGCACTGGAAGATGCTGATGTGCATGAGTGTGTCTGCGCTGAGGTGTGTGTCTGCGCTGAGGTGTGTGTCTGCGCTGAGGTGTGTGTGCGCGCTGCGGTGTGCGACGGCGATTCTGCTGGTGTGGCAGCAGCTGAGGCCTGCGATCGCTCCGCACACGTTCAGCGCGCTGCTGTTGGCCACGCCTGCCTCCACCAGCAGAGGCCACTCCTCCCACACGTATGTGTGCTCTGCACACGCGGTGCTGCACCGCCAGAAGCGCACGCTGCCGTCTGAGCAGGAGGTGGCCAGCAGATACGGAGCCTGACCGGCCGGCTGCAGGGACGAGGAGCTCAGGTGACCTGCAACACACAGCAGGAGTTTCCTTTAATAACCCACTATTATAATAATAGTATAGAAGTGGCGTACTGAAGTGGAATTTTCACTGTCCCACAATATAATCAGTATTGTCATCGTTTAGAATGCAGTAAATACTTAAACATTTGTGTTTTCCATGGACCTCGCATTATACGTCTATATGTTACACTGAGGCCCTGTTTACACGAATTCATTTTAGCTTTAAAAGCGATCTGCGTCCACACTGACGTTTCACCTGGCATTTCTGAAAAGATCCACACGGCACCACTGAAAACACACAACCTGTGACCACACACACACACACACACACTGTGGCATGCGCTGCAGCGTATGCGCGTGTCTGAGCTCCAGGCTGCCAGTGGGTGCTTTGAGCAAAAAACCCCAGGTGAGAGCAGTGCACGTCACATCAAAGATCTACTGCTGCATCTCCTCTCACTATAGTTGTTAAACATGATATTTATCTCGTCTATATCTGAGGACGTATTACCAGACTTTGGTCTGTTGAGTCTATTACTTGTTCTCAGGTAACATGATTCAGCTGAGCGCAAAGATAAGCTAATAATTAATGTAACCGCAGACACTGATTCTGCATATTGACTGATTGCTCGCCTTTATTTCCTATATTGTATAAACGTGTTGTGCGTTATACTGTTATAATGGCCATTATTGATTATTAAACTGATGATCAGCAGAAGAGAGGGTGTGTTTCATAGTTTTCACTGAGAATGAGAGGAGGCAGTGATGTTAGCGGCTGTTTTGTTATGAATATGGATACAGTGAAGATGACACTCATATAAATATGCAGCTACACGACGCCTCAACATTTCTGCTGTCTGTTAAGTTAATATCAAAATGAGAATAGGCAGTTCCTCATATCACATCTTCATTTTATTCTGGAGATAGTGAAATAGTGTAGCCTGCAGGGTGATGTGAATGAGGTTATACAGCACACTGCTCCCGTTTCAGTTTTACCCGACGTGTCCTCTGGAGTTTGTTTTTCATATCAAACTTGTGAAGTCTGAACTTACAGGGAGAGGATGCAGGACTGAACTGTGTGTACTTAACACTGAGGAAAAGCCCCAATTTCCAACATTTCCAAAACGCTTTGTTTTTAGCGCTCAAAAACTCCAGAGTAGTGTGGACGGATGGTGAAACCACAGCAGAACTTATACGTTTAAAACTAAAACGTATTAGTGTAAATAAGGCCTCAGAATATTCCAGCACTTGTGATTAAGTATGCAAATGCCTGCTGGATGTATAAACCTGTTAATGGTTTAACAAACCCCTCCACTTAATCAGTTCGTCAGTATTAGATCAACTGTTCATGGTTGCGTGTAGAAGAGACTATATAAGGACAGTAAGCTTAATTTCAGTCTTTATTTTCAATAAAAGATGCACAAGAATAGACTATTATACCAACTATTGTTAGAGATATAAGCCCGTTTCACACATACAAACCTTTCCAGAAAATTACCAGCTATTCGTATGTGTGAACAGGCCCTTTTTGAAGACACCGGTAAATTCGTTCCGGCTATTTTCCAGTAAGTGAAGTTGTAACATTACCAGTAATTTGCCGAAATGTTGTGCTGTGTAAATGCAGAAGGAAGATTGCCGGAAAGAGGGTGTTTACGTCTAGAATGCACTGACATGAGACGTCTACTTTAGCCAGTCTTTTTTTAGACTACCGGTAAAGTCGTTACGGTAATTTTACAGATATCTACCGGTATTGCTGTGTGAAAGAGGCTATTGAAACATGTGAAGTATTTAAGGTCAAATTAAAATATGGTTAATTAGTTCTTATTTTTTATTTATCTATTTGGCTTTTTTATGGATATACATAAAGTATTACATGATAAAAACAAATTTATATTTCAATATAAAGTTACTTAGACAAACATATAGGATATAAATAAATAAAAGTCACACAAAAATATACTGCAAGTTAAATATGATTTTTCAGGTTAATTTTTGATAAATATTTTTTTAAAACTCTTCCTGGTGGTGGCTTTTTAAAAATGTCCATTAAAGTACACTCCTTATAAAAATCTCCTCTAATGGAATTTAAACTTCCACATTTCCACAGGATATTTTTGATGGTAAGAGCAGTCTGGCAGTAATTATTACATATAAGTGGTGCTTCGTTATTCAGTTTATACAAATGAGTCAGCCTAGAATGTACAATTCGACATCTAGTATAAACAGTTTAATCATGTCTGGTCTCAAAATTATAATTTGCTAAGCGCCTTTCATTTATTTTCAGGTTAATTTCATGTAATTTATTATTTATGCAGTTGTTTCAGTCTAGTTGCCATGTTTTGTTTATGTGCAAATGAATTGTGGCTTTGGTTAATTAGTTCTCAGCGATGTCAACATTAACATCCTACATTTTATAACCTGGGCTAGGTCTGCTGGGCACTTTATATGTTTTATTCATGTTTTAAGCATTGTGATATTTAATTGTAAAGTTATTTTAACGTGTGTTTTAAATACATTTTCTTTAGAGTGACTCATTTTAACATTCTGTCCAGGAACAACAGATGAAGACTGGCTAAATCTGGTACATTTAC